ACTAATGCATGAAAATCCTAACCTCAAAAAAATCACCCGTTAGAAAACTCAGTTTTAGAAATAACCCTTTCGAGTAGACACCACTTCCTTCTATTTAGCTTAGTTTTGACTTGATCGTAGATAATTTTATAAAATGCGAATATGATTTCGGTACCGGGTAGGGAGAAGATTAAGGGTGATGTCCATGGCGTTAGACGGCCAGTCTCTAATACTTAGGAGATTTTTCTAAAGATGAGCACCCAACCACGGCGCCGTAGAACATAATAGGCCGAACCATTTCCGTGTACTTACATCCACAGTTTAAGTCGGAATTCCCTTTCGAGTAAAACGTCCAATCCCAGATGATTCCTAAGCACATATTTACCTTCAGTCCTACTCAGACCCGGTTCCCTGAGGGTATTTGCCCACTAAAGTTAAGTTTGGTCAGCCGCGTAATAGCTTGACAGCGCAAGCGCAGCTACAAATTGTTCAGGTTCCATAAAAGCGGGGAGATATTTGGTGTTTAACCGCGCGCCTATAAAATTTTGCCTCATCTTTACTAATTTAATATTCAGTGTTCAATATAAATTTTTATGACTAAAAACGTTTAAAAGTAATAAATATTTTTTAATTACACTCTGTTCGTCAAGCCTTATCAATTAAAATAATTATAAATGAGCTCATACTGACTGACCGCCTTTCTCATTAATCATTAAGAAATTACAGTGAGACATGGATAAGTGAGCCTACAAACGGAGTTTTGCTATCCGTTGTAAAGAAATAACTCTCAAAAAAAAAATATATATATAAATTAGCAATTTGACGTCTGACATCATTAACGTACAGTAGGGTCCGTTATACATACAAATCCATCAATTTGCAGTTCTGGCAGTGAAGGCAATTAGAATTTGAATCAAAGGAATATCTATGAACTCTCAGGGCCGCTTTCATCATCTCTGATTAACACTAATCCCCAGCTAAACATCGTTACCGACAAAACGTTACAAATGTGCATGGAGTCTGTCATCGATAAGGCCCCACTGTAAACGCCGATATGACGAAAAATGTGAAACGACAAAAAAAAATTTCCTTCTCAAGGGTGTAGACGAACTTTTTTTTTACACAGGTAATAAAACTAAGTGAGATGATAACCAAAGGCAAATAAACTCTACATACATATATACAAGTAATGACCAATAATAAATACATAACTACACTCATACATACATACATATGTACATAACAGAATTAGACGCGGTAATATGAATAGAAATATAAATACATTCGTACATACACACATAAGTACATATGTACATACATACACATGTATATCTGCACGTGTTGTGTGTATTTTTAATAAATCAAAATATAATTTGAACAATTAATTACGAATACCAGACATCTGCAGAAATTTGAAACCAGTTAGTGATAAAACGCCGAATACCAATTGCCAATGACAGCAGCTGTTAAAGCGCAAAGCAATTCAGACTAGAAAGCAGAAGTTTAATTTAAAAAAAAAAATTTATATTCNATGAGCTCATACTGACTGACCGCCTTTCTCATTAATCATTAAGAAATTACAGTGAGACATGGATAAGTGAGCCTAAAAGCGAAGTTTTGTCATCCGTTGTAAAGAAATAACTCTCCAAAAAAAATATATATAAATTAGCAATTTGACGTCTGTCATCATTAACGTACAGTAGGGTCCGTTAGACATACAAATCCATCAATTTGTAGTTCTGGCAGTGAAGGCAATTAGAATTTGAATCAAAGGCATATCTATGAACTCTCAGGGCCGCTTTCGTCATCTCTGATTAACACTAATCCCCAGTTAAACATCGTTACCGACAAAACGTTACATATGTGCATGGAGTCTGTCATCGATAAGGTCCCACTGTAAACGCCGATATGACGAAAAATGTGAACCGACAAAAAAAATTCCTTTTCAAGGGTGTAGACGAACTTTTTTTTTTACACAGGTAATAAAAATAAGTGAAATGATAACCAAAGGCAAATAAACTCTACATACATATATACAAGTAATGACCAAAAATAAATACATAACTACTTACATACATACATACATATGTACATAACAGAATTATACGCGGTAATATGAATAGAAACATAAATACATTCGTACATACACACATATGTACATATGTACATACGTGTTGTGTGTATTTTTAATAAATCAAAATATAATTTGAACAATTAATTACGAATACCAGACATCCGCAGAAATTTGAAACCAGTTAGTGACAAAACGCCATACCAATTACCAATGACAGCAGCTGTTAAAGCGCAAAGCAATTCAGACTAGAAAGCAAAAGTTTAATTTCCAAAAAAAATATTAATATTTGAATCAAAAGTTTACTCACGCCAGTCGTCGCTTGCAAAACCACACCCACTGAGATAGTAGCTGTTATGCCCGAAACGAATAAATTGTTGAATAATGGTTATCTACGCACACCGCATATCTTTGGCGTAAGCAGCGGTGCAACAATGGAGGACGGCGGGGCAACAACTGCCGTTTCGCCGCTGCTCAGCGATAGCGGCGACATCGCCACCACTACGCTTATAGATGACAAATTGTCTAACCTACAACAGAATAGCAAGAATTTAAACAACAGTGCAGCGAACAATGGACCGCATGTCAAATTGCCCACAGTGGTGTATTTAGGCGCTGACAGTGGTGGCGGCGGTGGCGGTGGTGTTGGAGGAGTTGGTGTGAGCATCAGCAGCGGTACCGGTGCAACGCGCACTACACTTCAGCGGAACGCACCCTCGCCCTACCAAAGCACCACAACACCCATGCACCACCAGCATAGCGATTGGCTGATGAAGGAGCCGACACAAAGACGGCGCTTGCTCATCTTAGCTGCAGCTTTCATGGTGCTCGGCGCTGCGATCGGTGCATTGGCGATCTATTTTGCTGGCAGCTATCGTTGTCACTCGTTGCCCACCGCTGGCACGGCAGTAAGCGTTGACAGCAGTAGATTGGATACTGAATATGGAGGTAAGTAAAAAGCTATATATGTACTAAAGTTATACTCGTATTTGCTTTCCAGCAAAAAATCTGAAACGATATTTTGTTGTAGTTTACTGCAAAATCACAGAAAAGCCCCTCCTCTTTATAGGATTAACCCGTGTGCAGAAAAACTTATTTTTTTCGTAAATGGAAATTTTCGAATGGCTTACTGACATACCTAATGTGACCAACCGTACTTCTTTCGGAAGTACAGTACTTCTTTTTTCGCTCTTGTACTTCGTACTTCGAAGTACAGTCAAATGTACTTCTTTTCAATATTTTGTACTTCTGGAGGGAGATTCTGTAACCAGTTAGCGACAATTTTCGGATCGCTATCGCACTTTTTTACGCATGATATATATGTTTTTTGTAGTCTGGGATCGATGGCATCATACCTGCGCAGCTGCGAAGGGCTCTGAAGGTGTCGTGCAAATGGTTGGATCCTATTTATGCGAACTGCGTGAAGGCCGGGTACATCCCCATGGCTTGAAGGGTAGTCAGTATTGCGTTCATCCCGAAGGCCGGAAAAGGCACTCATGTTTCCCCTAGGTATTTTAGGCCTATCAGTCTCTTCGTGTTTGATAAAAACGCGTTTGCTAAAAATGCTAGAGAGCTCTGTACCTGTACATAAGAAACGCGATTCCTCGTGACTATCAGTCAAGGGCTCAATATTTTTATTGCAAGAAAAGGACGGTGAATACCGCCCTGCACACATTGGTAAAGTGGTCAGAGGAAACCTTCACGCATGAAGATTATGCAGTTGGAGCCTTCTTCGATATCGAGGGGGCCTAGCCAAGTATATTCATAATCTTGGGGTTGAAACCAACCCAATAAGCTTACTTCATGGCAGAGCTGTCGCGGAATAATGGGAAAGCGTCTGCACTCAGGACAGAGTCAATAGGAGCACTCCACAAAGTGGTGTTCTCTCTCTCCTGCTCTGGATTGCGGTTGTAAACGACCTTCTAGTTGAACTGTAAAAAGTGAGCTGTCGGGTGATCGCCTATGTAGATGAAGTGTAACTTTTAGTTAAGGGACGATTGCTATACACCGTTTTTGATCTGGCTCAAGGTTACCTGTACTAGGTGGGGGATCAACGGCGGCTGTCGTAGAAACCTAACATTAAGGAAAGGGTAGGAAAGGTGTCGATTGTCTTGTACTGCTAAAAGGGAGCTATCAGTAAAAGGTAGGGTCTCTCGCCCAAATTAATTAATTTGCTCTAGGAAACCAGATTTAAGCCTATATTGTTTCAAGGAGCCCTTGTCTGGTGGAACTCACTAGAAAAGGCTACACCTGTAAAACAGGAATTAGCGGATCCGGTGTTTCCTACCACACCTACACAGGCGCTTAACATACGTATGTTGAACATGGCGCCGGCGGATATTGCAGACAGAATTGCCGAAGCGCGAGCTGGTATTAGGCTAAGGGAAACCGGTTCCTTTTGTGACATAAACAAGGAAAAGAAGACATTTCTCTGCACACGTTACTTCTCAAGGCTAGTGATGGGGGTTCTGATATGCCATTGTGCGATTGGTATTCATGCGGTGAGACTAGGAATTTCAGCTGATGCTTTTACATCAGCTATCAAGAGGAATATGAGGTGGAATCATCTCCACACTTTCTTTTAGACTGTCTAACCTTCGAAAGGCTAATATGGAAGCATTTTGGCTCGCGCTTCTGAACAAACACTGAGCTCTCAGGGATCGAAATTAGCCGCATTCGAAATTTCGTAATCGGCTCGCGGCGTTTATTTAACCCAACCTTACCTGTACTTCTTTGAGCTATGAAATAGTTGGTCACATTAGACATACCTAAACAAAAGCGTCAGCGTTGTCTGGATGTCAAAAAATTCTCATGCTCATACAATTTGTATGAAGCATACCGAAACAACGCGGCGTCAACGCTGAGCGGTTGGAAAATCCGATTTTGACAGGGCGTTAGGTATTGAAGTTGGCTGCAGAAAACGGCGAAACTATCATTTTCGTGTTACACACAAACAAACCTATGCTTATTGTTGGCGTTATTTCTGCATTTGATGTATCGTTGACGCTTTTGTTTAGGTATGGCACTTCGGCGCTAACGCTAGGCGTCAGAAACCGCTCCATCCAACGCTTTTGTTTAGGTATGGCAGTTAGAATTTGATAAATTAGACATATTGCTGAGCTATTCATAATTGTTTATAAACTCGCTGGTCAAAGTCAATATTTATCTTAAACCCTGGAATTGCTTTTAATTGTGAAATTTTCGTAGATGTTTTTATTTTGTACATTTTCCAATTGTGTATCTACCAATCAAGCGCGATGAAAATCGGTACATACATATTGTGCTATTTGCGCCGATAGTGGGCGCCTAGCTTTAATTAAGCTTTATAAAAAAGTTCACAACAAATTAAAAAAATTTAGCTAAATACATATAGTTTAAAATAGAAGTGAATATGAGTATGTGTGTTCATTTGCAAGAATAAATATACACACAGGTACGAATGGAAGAATGTGCTATTTAAATTCCGCCCACAAGAGTCCTTCTAAGTAAATTATTGTGTCATCGTAAAAGTTTTTATAACTTTTCTATAATTTATTCATGCACTTTAAAACCATTAAATTGTGCAATTTCAATAAGTATATGGAGTGATATAAATATACATACATACATACATGCATAGGTGTTGTAGTGGTAACTGGGTCAAAGATCAATAAAAACGAAAAACGTTATAATTTGTTGTATGTAATTGCATTCTTTACCGTTCTATTTCATCCCGTTCGAGACAATTTCATTATTATATACGTACTATTTGAAATGTGTTTATCATCAAACCACTAACAGCCAACCAACAAACTAACCAACTAACCAAGCAAACGACCATCAACCAACCAGTCGTCTAAATAAACGGGCGCGTCTGTGGTACCCATTCAACTGCACAACCAATTCGAGCGTACCACTTTAATATCCGCACTTCTTTTCATTACACTCGTATTGTCGTCGCTTCTCCTTTTGCCACGTTTGTGTTAGTTAGCCCCGTGGCGTTGACGACACATTCAACAGGCGTTGTTATTAAGAGCGCCCAACAGGTAGGCAAAATGCCAAGTAGACAATTCTTAAGACTGGTTTTCACCATGTCATATTTTGACGCCTAAAATTTGGCGACACATTTTGACAAAAGCTGACAGATAGCCGATTTATCCTGATCGATATCAATCGATAAACCGCTTTTTAATCCCATTTGACAATGTGTTTTCACTCTTCATAATTAGGATGACTCCTTCCTTAAGGCGAGTAGGATAACAAAGGATTCCTGATTTTTTTATAATTCTTTGCATTTCGTATACTTACATATTTAATATTTTTTCTAATAACTAATTCTTTAATAAATACATATTTTATTGTGATTTTTTAGCAAAGCATTCTGCATTAAATTTTTATAACACACTTAACTTTAAAATTTTTTCTAAAAGTATGATTTTCGCTTATACCCGTACATAAGTATATGAAATTGTATATAGGTACTTCTATCACAATTCTCAACTTATTGCTTCCTATTGGGCCGCTGCTTGTAAACACTAAATGCCTTGTCGGTGGGGAAAACATCAGCAATTCCATTTCCTTTATGCCACTCATGGGTTCTTTTGCAATCTATTATAAACGTTAAAATATATATACATACGTGTGTATACGTTTAAGTATAAGTAAATATACGAAAACCTATTAAGTGAATGCATTTACATACGAACGTTTGCACACTTATATTTATATAATTTATTTAAATATCTTTAAGGAAGAACATGCAAAAATATTTACATATTGACAAGATTTGACTATTTAATTTTTTATTGTAATTATTTGTTTGTAAAAATATCTTATTACATTAAACGAGCGGGCTCTAACGATTTTGATGAAATTTTGTACACATATAATTTTTTGGATTCTAAGGTTATCTGAATAGGCATTATCTCCGAGAAGACTCGTATAAAGTTGCCACCTATTCGAAATTAGTTACAAATTAATTAAAACATCATAATATTGGCATCAAATGGAAGGTATTTTAAAGATCCCTAATTCCAAAAAATATTATTAATAGGGTTGCCACCTATTTGGAATCGTATATTTATTTAATATTTTGTTTAGAAAAAAAGGTAAAATATTATATTCATGGGTATCATGAGAAGGTTCTTAAACAATGTTTTCCCCATATACAAATAGTATGCCTTAGGATAGTTGCCACTTATTTTCGATACTACAAAATTTATCTAAAACATCGCAATATGGATATCAAATGAAAGGTATTGTTGAGGACTTTTATTAGAAAATATTTTCGATCAGGGCTGCCATGCTTCTATGTAATTCAAATTTTTATTCTGTTAATTTCAATCGGCATTTTTTATGTATACACTGTACATATATGCTCAAGATACATACTATTCATTCCAGCGTATTTCGGCCATATGGTTGCCATCTAAATTTTAGAGTAAGAAATTTACTTAATAGATATCGAAATCCATTTTTATTTTTTTCAAAAATATTTTTTAAAGCTATCCAAATGACCAATATTTGATATCAATACCTTGAAAACTTTAAAAAGTATATGCACTCCGGGCAAAGCTCGGTCAACCTGGTACTAGTTTATTGTTTAGCGAAACCCGTATAAATCCAAGATACGATCCAAGGTATATATCTACATATAAAATAATAATTACCTACTAGTCAGAAATGGTCAGAATTAGTCAGATTTAACTGGAAATAGATACCGTACTCGGTTCTCTGACAATTGAGAGAACAAAACAGAGAGCAGATGTAGTATGTTTGACAACCAAATTGTAAACAAGAGAAAGGTGCACTTGCAGATGTGTGAGCTGAATGTGCATACAAAATAAGCAACAATTTACAATTAAAATTTGGAGGTTATGTAGCAGTTGTCAGAAGTTATCATCCCGTACTGTTACTCTCTCGCTCTGAGCGAATTTTTATTTTTTTACAGTTTTACTAGTTTTAGTTTGAGGATTACGGCATTGGACCTATAAATAGAAGTATCACGTTAAAGTATACGGGCACACTCATCAAACAGATTTCACCTTATTCTTTGAACATAAGAAAATGTTGGATCCAACATTTTGAATTTTGAAAATCTCATAAAAATTCCTAAATAAATTAAATCCATCAATATTTGAAAAATTTTGTCTGCCAAATAAAGTTTGTCATGTTGTTTGAGGTTAGAAAAAAATTCTGAAGTGATCATATCAAACACCTGGGCTTGTCCAAATAACTTTTCATCAATTTTTTTTTGTGGTCCTGTGTGTGTTCTTAGAGTTATGACCTTTTAAAACTTTCGGCTTAACAACTAGTTTAAACTTCATTTGCTCACGTACCAATTTATGAACACATTTAAAAGTGTAGAATAATATAATTTTGTAGTATAAAACACCATCCACCTATCGATAAATAAGTATGCCAGTGGATTTTTTTTTTCTTAACCCTTTCAGTACAAAAAATCAACCGTTGAAGCTAAAAACCTGAGAATTTGTACACCGGCGAATTTGGGTCGTCGATTTCAAAAATACAATCAAATATTTTATAAAGCTTTATTATTTTATTCTAGTGTGTTTGTCCGAAGAAGTCTTAGACGCCTGGCATAAAAGTATAAGGAATGTGCGATTTTTCCATAAAAGAAACACGACGAGATATTTAATGGCTCATTTGTTATTAATGTCGGATCCGGAACTATCATCGCTTAGGACTACAAAAAAAAAAACAATTTTGAATTTGGTGAAACTGAGATGTATATTTTAAAAGCCAACATTTATAAATTCATTGAGAAAGTTTACAAAAATTTTTATTTTATTATTATAAATTTTTTTCAATAACTAAAATCATAAGGGAGGTATCTAGTCATTTCCTGATACCAAATGAAACAAAATTTGCCAAAGAGTTAAAAAAGTTTAATTCTATAAGTTATTATTAGTTTTTAGTGCATTCTAATCACAAATGTAACTAAAATCTATTTTTTTCAGAAAAAGGATATAGGGGAGATACTCAAGTCCTTACACCGAGCAAAATGAAATTTTCACAGAGAGCTACCAATTTTCGCTTTATTCTGCTTATAATTGTAGCTTAAATTAAGCTTTTAAAATTAAGTACATATGTATGGGGGGTAGTCATGTCCTTTCACCGATATTGCCAAAGCTTCGATTTTTTCGTAATTTATATATTCTAAAGCAGCACACCAAATTTCATTTTTTTCTGCCATAACTCCCCTAATTTTGCCGATTCAGTATATGGGGGCGCTGTACTGTGCGCCAAAAAAACGGAGGGGAAGCTTATAAAAATCTTATTAAAATATATGTATTTTCTATTGAAAAATACCCAACAGATATAGCGACTTGACCACCAAAATCAAAAGTTCTAGGGATATACCATATATGTATGTATGTTTGCACATGTGTCTACAATTGCGTTTGTATGCATGTACCTTAATACTTATGTATGTATGTTGAATATTGCGTTTGCAATGCAAACTGTGGAAAGCCATCTGCGCTTCATCACAATTAAATACACACCAAGCTAACGCTCAAGCGAGTTAAACGAAGTTAATTTGTTTTTAATGCCTGACATGTCCGCGCAGCCCCGCGCAGCCCCGCACTCGCCACTAACTATCGAGACTTTGTCATGCTGCTCAACGATACCACCAAAGCTAATCACTCACTTCGACACGCAAACCACTCACACCTACCCAATATCCTACTCCCGCATCCGGTGAGCCCTATACATAGGTGAGATATACCGACCAGACCGTGACACATATTTATGCATACATACATACATATGTATGTACGTATGTATGTATGAATGTTTGAGCTCGCAGATACACTTGTAATCATGTCAATGTCCATTAGAGCGTTGTGGCGAATCTTCGTAGCGCGGTAAGCGCGGTATTCACGTATCGATTTTCAATTGAGCAACAACGTTCCCAGCAATTCCTTATCCAGTGGAAAAAAACGAATAAGGTAAAGTGAGTTGCACGAGGGGCTATAGACGATGAACATTTCAATTAACTTAACGCTTACTAGCCCCAGTTTATACAAAATATACATCCATAGATACATAAATATGTACATGCACTAGTGTGTAAGAGTTATCTATTGTCCCAGCCATCATTTGGATGTCTATTCGGCATTACCGCTTTGGTGTAGGGATTAGCAGTGCGCGCTATCTCTCCGCAGGGTCTGGGCTCAAGCCTTGGTCAAAGCAACATCGCAAAAAATTTAGAAAAAGGTTTCCTAACAGCGGTCGCCCCTCAGCAGGCAATGACAACCCTTTGCCATGAAAAACAGCTTCTCATATAAAATACAATTGCCGTTCAGAATCAGCAGGAGCACTGGAGGTCCCTCCCCTTTGCGTAACAACATCAAGGCGCACGCCACAAATCGGAGTAGAAGTTCGGCCAAACACTAACACAAGCGCCAATCTATTATTATTACAGCCATATCGAGTCGGATGGACGAATGTTTAAGAGAAATTCTTGTCCGCGATGAAAAAGCGAATCTTTTCTGACTTTTCCAAGCGATTACAGAAACCTTGTAAGCAATCAAACATAGTGGTATCAAACGACCACAAAAAACAGGATGCTTTCTTTTCTATATAGGATAAATGTCGTTTTCGTATCACTGCGGCGGCTCGCTTTATCATCGTTTGGACGCGCTCACCGTCGCTATACGACTCGCTAGAGAGCACTTCCGAGATTAGTTGCGCGCTAAGAATACTCGATTTCAAGTTGCTTGTGATTGAAAATGTTGGCTGGGATAGCATTCCAACTTTTTACTGCTGCTGACACTGCTTTACGCTTCACATGCAAAGTTGTGTGTGTATGTGTGTATGTGTGTGTGCGGTTTTTGGAGAATCAGTGCAAGTGAATGCGCGCCACTTATTGTGTGGCAGATAAAGCGAATTTGAAGGGCTTGGCCGATACTCTGACGAACAAGCCTTTGGGGCGCTTGCCGCCACTGACGAATGCTATCGGTTTCCACCTGCTGCCTCTTCATCAACGACAGGGTTCTGTCAATCGTGCAGAAAGTGTTAAAATCTCGTTAACATCTTGTGTGTCACTCACCGCCAGCGCCATAAATGGACTATGAATGGCTATAAGCCGACGATGATACGTACTCGTACTAAATACATGAAAGTCGAGAGTATTTCTGCAGGCAGAAGTGCATTTGCATGTTCGCGTCCATTGAGTGTCTGTGGTTAAACGTTTAGGTGTGTAACAGTATTAATGTTTTTACATCCAATACATTTCCATAAGGATTTAAGAAAATTGCTTAAAAACTCCAATTGCCTATACATATTTAAATTTTAAATCCTAGATTGTCTGGTATTTTTCTTGGGACTGCGGCACCTTAATTGCCTAGCCTTTTATTTCGGAATAGCTTCTGGACTATTAGTGTATCACAGGTTCTTAAAGTATGGTTAAAACCCTTAATGTTACGGGTTTTCACCTGGCATATGCTATTTATTAAAAGTGGCGAAGAGTTGCCATATACATCCATTCATACTTCGTACTAGCAAAGGGGCTAGTACATGGTATTTGGATGATAAAATGCAAACGTGTGATTCTCTTAAATATACAATCGCCGTTCGGAGTCGGCGTAAACTGTAGGTCCCTCCTCAAAAATATTTTCGGCAGTAAACGAGTCCTAAACTCGTAGTTTGACCCGTATTGCAATATTTAATTTATCTCATCAATTTAATTAAATTAAAATTTGCAAACAGGTGGCAACCCTGCACAAAAATATTTTCGGATGCGCAACCACGCAACGATGCTAGTTTTCTGCTAAGTGGCGCAAGCTAGACTTTTTCTTCTAGTGCGTCTGAGAAATAAAAGGGACTGATGCTTTCTATTTTGACGTTTCGGAATGCACCCTTTCTATATTTAAAGTTAAACTTCTAGCAATACATCGGTGAAATCTGCTTTTAGTTCCTTGCTTTAGTTTTCGAGTGATGGGCGTGCAAACATACAGACAGACAGAAAATAGCCGTTTGCCATAAAATCCATTTCCTGCTAATGTACATTGCAGTTATTTGCTTTGGCAAAGATTTTTTTACTTCTGCGTATAAGTAAATACATATAAATATGTATTAGCAAAATTTATTTTTTTTTTTTATATTTTGAAATTGAGCAACAAGAAGCTAAACAATCTGACTTATTCCTTTCTCTTTTGCAGGTGCAAAAACTCTTCAGCAGAATATTTGCTTAACAGAGGATTGCGTTCGAACAGGTAAAAATACTGTATATATAATTTATTTTTTAATATTTCTACTGGAATAATCGAAATATTTTCTGGGAAACAGTTTAATAATTTTTGGTAAGCTTAAATTTAATGGCATTAGGGTGGTACGTTAAGTTGATAAGAACTGGGTTCTGGGGGAGGGGCAAGAACATCGATATATTATACTTTAAGATTCGACTGTAAATGCCGAAAATATGACGAAAAATTAAAAATACAACCGCCTACGTTCAAATTGCATTGCAAAATTATTTTAGGATAGGCATGGGCAGCGCTGGCAGAGCTCCATAATCATGTGAAAAAATGTTTCACTTGCTTATGGAGTTATGCGTGTGCTGCCCACCACTGCTTTAGAATCAGAGATGTACGCTAAACTTTTTTTTCCTACACGGTCTAGTGTACACGGAATCTAATATTATGAACAGTGTTTAAGGAGTTGAGGACTGTTTCAAAAAAAGAAGTAATATTTGCAGATTATAATTATGTTACAAATTGTTAATGTTAAGTGAATTTTAAGCAAGAAATCTCTGAGGGGTTTACTAAATTAGTTAATTAAAAAAATTAAAGCTTATGGTCCTCCTAAATTTGTCAATTTAATGCTTTTGACAAAAAATAATTTTTTTCTGAAATAAATACACAAGTTTGTAAAAATTATGTTGTCAACACCGGCTATCAAAACTCTCTTTGCATATGTATTTATTAATTTTTTTCCTTCCTTATATATGTAATACCAAGAGAAAATACATACATATGTATATGGAAAATCACATAAAATAGAAATAAAATTCTATGAAAACCACAAGTATCAGATTAAGAACTGAAAAACGGACTATATTGTCGAGTAGTAGAGTATGTATGACAGAAACATGACAGTCGCTTAAATTGTTAACAAAAGAACACAAAAAAAATATACTGAAAAATCACTTATGGGAAATATGACATATATATGTACATATGAGTGCACATTAGGGCGCACCACTCTCCATACAAAAAAAAAAACATCGAAACTTTTTCCATCAGTAGTATCAAGTTAATTATATATTTTAAGACTTCTGCAAAAAAAATATTCTGAAAATATATTGAAATGTACGTGAGCGGGGCCGATTTGAAAATACTTCATAAATCGAGTTTTTTATGAATTAAATTAATTTTTAAAAATATGTTTTCCCCAAAAATCACCTCAGATGATAGAAAGGTGAAGCCTAAATCAACGGAATCAAAATAATTACATAATAAGGTTTTGGAGGTATCTCCAGGCCATGTAAATATTAATATTTTCGCGGAAGTTTTAAAAGGGAAGAAATTTTATATCTCCGGTGAAAAACCCGCAACTTTTTGGGCGAGGCGCCGTAATGTATGTACATACGTATGTATTTGAAAATAAGTTCAGTTCGTAACTGTGAATGTGCGCGAAAATTAAAAACAACAACAATAAATTCTATATGTATATATGATATAGCAATTTAAAACTACACACATGCATACATACATATGTATGTAAGTACATGCTAACAACAGTAGGAACAACAACAACAACAACAACAACAACAACAAAGCATAATGTTAACGATGACATCTATGACAACCTTTGTTGTCAACAATGTACATCAAGTTTCTGTCCCAGCTTCTGTCCGCATGCCGCTGCAAGCGCACGGATGGCTGAAGTAAGACTTCAACAGCCCAACCGACAAACTGGGAAACTGGCAAGCGTTCGTCCAATTCAGAATGCATTTCATATGTTCTTTAGCCGTTTTACAACATGACATTGCCAGCCATTTTGATTGGTGGCACAAACAAACATGTAATTTCCTCAGCAGAGCTCTCCAGTGGACTATTTGCTGGTTGAACGGCAATGTTCACTTGTTCAAATATACACACATACTTATATACATACTTACATATGTTTGTGTTGCCATTGTTGCCACTGTATCAACTAAATAAGTTTGGGTATTGTTGTTCTCAATGTTGCTCATGCCGTTGTGGAAAGGTTGTTGCCATGTTGGTTGTTTTTATTTTTACTATTGTTGTTGCTGATGTAACTGTCATGTTCGAATGTTAGATCCTACATGAAATACGAGTATGTGCGCGTGTGTATTCTGCTTGACTTGACGTCCAGCTTTTAAGTTGCACAAATGTCTTATTAATGCCAGACCAAAAATAAAGTAATAAGACTAAAATGTTTAAAGTTCCAGCTCTAAAATACACACACACACACACAAACACACACACACTGCATACCTATGTATTTCATTATAATTCCTCCAAGCAAATTCACTTTTCAACACACATTTGTGCAGACGATCACGAACACCAACCATGCTAAATGGAACTCTTTCATTTATCAAAGCAGCTTAGAAAAACTGCTTAGAAACTTTTAGTTGTTAAATGCTTGGCTACCTTTTGCAAAAACTTTGCTCTACAATGCAAAAGATAACAGCGTTACTAAATGTGCCAGCGACAATTTGCCGGTTGCGTTTCTCGTGCTAATATCGAATTTTATATACAAACATGTACTTATTTATAAATATGTACCTAAGCATGCATGTACACACGCACCGTGCCGATGGCGGTTCATGAATCACCGCTTCAAACACAACTGATTTAGAAACGCTCCTACCTACGAAAGTTCTACCGGGCGTATGAGTAACGTTTAGTAACACTCCTTTGTTTATTGTATACATACATACATATGTACATATGTATGTATGTGAACACATACGCATTCATATAGATACGTGGCAGTTGTATGTGAACCGTTTATTTTGAAAGTGGTATAAGTCATTTCATGCCATTCGACTTCAATGAGTGATCATTTAACTGTATCTGAACGCGTCTGATATTCGTTCAACTTCAACAGCCAAACCGTAAGAAGTTTTGTCAGTATGTTTATGACGGTAGAACGATTTACAGATGCATTCAATTAGAAGTGCCAATCATTTAAGCAGAAGATGTGGATATTACTTATGTCATTTTGAAAATAAACGGCTCATATCTATGTATGTTTTTTTTTGTTTTTTGCAGATAGATACATATGTCTATGTATGTTGGTGTATATGCACCTAAAGTTTTCCTACATATCCCAACACCAACAACCACAACCCATTTACCCTGACCTCTTTCGATAAAGTATACACTGACATTTGCACACATTTCCTTGTTTGAAAACTTAACTTCTCAATGAATTCTAAAAGGTTTAGAGCGGACACTTGAATGTGCTTTTGCACATACATATGTACATACATACATATTTAAATGCATACGTATGTGTGTGTGCGTGAATGCGGAGCACAACCTGTTTGCTTTGGTACTCGAGCCATATACGTATGGTAAGACTTATTACGTTAAACAACAAATGAAATAAATAGAAACGCTTTTAAAAGTTTTTCGCATCGATATTGTAAATTTATTTAATTAATTGTATATACACATGTATGGCAGAGTTCCCGACGTCGGTCGTGGTGAACAAATAAGTATATAAATATATATATTATTCGGACTTCCCATTCGGGAGCATCCGATCAATACCTAGCCTTAAGTGGCAAAGCTTAGCCCCAGAGGAAACTGACGGCATTTAAATTCAATTGTAAGATCTGTGGATTCATTTGTTTTACTACCAGCCTGGTTCCATTAAAAAGTTTAGGTGTATCACAGTTACGAACGAAGAATAACAGGCGCACACAAGTCCCCAATAGCAAAAAAACTGCCAAAAGTAAACAAAAAATTTGCTTTCAATTGCTATGCTCAATTTATCGTAGTTTTATAAAGAACACAATAACGGATATTTTTACTGAAAAGACAATGCTTACTATGAAGTTCCTACTCATGAATATAAGCGTAAAGTCGCAGCTCGCGGAAATTTATGGTTTTTTCTACTTTTAAAAATTAACATTGTGTCCGTTATAAAGACTCTTGAAACGTGAATGGAGTTAATAGGGCTGATCAGGATCTTGTGCATATGCTCTTGGATTTGCATATTCGTTGCATTTGTAAATTGACAACAACAAAATGTATACGGTTGCTATGGCAGCAAGCAAAAAATTTGCAAATGCAATTCCAACTTCAAATCCTGTCACGTCCATTTTCCTAAAATTCTATGAAAAACCAAATTTTCGCTAAAGAGCCATTGTATGTTTATATCAAATTTGAGTAAGTAATGATGAGTTCCTTAGCCTCGCTGCTAAAAAAAATCTGAACGTCCGGTACATGTACACATATAAATTTAAGGCCGTATTTCTACTGAAATTGCTTAATTTAGACGATTTTTATCCTAGGTTATTGAGTAAGGTATCAATTTGTTTGTAAATTAATTTTCTTTTAGATCAAGTCAAGTCAATTGATCAAGTACGAAAATAACATTTTTTTTTGTAAAAAAAATAGAGGGTTCAGGAACTATAACAAACCTATTTTCATATTGTACTCGACCCCACCTACAATCTGCACTCAGTTTTGTTTCGAGTGGATGTCGTAATTTTTTTTTTATAGCACCGTGTTCTAGTTTTGAATATTCAGGTCGCCTTATTGGATACGCGATTTTGAATTTTTAAAATCTGGCATCAAATTTGTAATTGGTTGCCCAAAGAACCTACAACAAAGCAAGTTCAACTTGGTCTGATTTGATTTTGTATTTTGGCCAGCTTTGTATGCTATATGGAACCACTGTAATGAAATGAAAATTATGGAGGGGAAATCCTGATGGCCGAAGTTAATTCGAAAACTCCCAGGGGGATGTAAAATTCTTACTAAAAAAGTTAAAAATTTTGAGTGTAATTATTAAAGTTTGTTGAATTGTTATAATTTTTGTGCGAAGTTTTAAATTGGGAGTTATGTAGTGCTGGTTATGCAATGTGTTAGACTTTCATAAAAAAAAAATTTATAAATATTAAATAAACAAAAGAAAAATAGCCAAAACTGGTTAAAATGTGACTTAACTTAATCAGCTGACCACAAAGGTATATGTGTGTACATTAGACGCTACCATCTTACAAGCAAACAAAAAAAGTTCTCCGTACACCCTGGAATCAACAGAATTTTTTTTTTCAAAGCAACCGTATCATCTTTATAAGTACGGTGACCAGATTTCTCTGGCCAAAAATCGGACCATTTCTAAAGCATCGAACCTGAACCTACAATATTGTTTTTAGAATGAAAAGACATACAATCTTTTAACCCAGTTTTATTTAAAACAAAACAAAGAGAAAAAACTTCAAAAATGATCGCAAAAATGTAAACACACAATATATACAGTGGCGAGAATGTAAATAGGCAAAAGACATTTTAGCAAGTTTTGACGCCTTTTCTTTGTTTAAAAAAATTTTATTATTTTTTATGAAAATATAGCCGACTATCTTTTGGGCCGGAGTACAGGGAAACTCTTATTAAATTAATAAAGAAAACACTGATAATCAGGACTTAATCGGTACAAATATGAAAAATCGGGACACTTATACGTTCCGACTTTTAAAAAATATTCAGCTGGAAAATTTTCTCAAAATCGGTACTGTTCCGCCAAAATTGGTACGAATGGTCACCGTAATTATAAGTGAAGTAGTCTTTAATTGAAAGATGTTAGCATACAACACACATATATACATACATACATACTTATGTAACTATGTACTTGATTTTCCTTCTTCAGCTGCCTCGTTGCTTTCGGCCATGGATACAACAGCGGACCCTTGCACAAACTTTTTTCAGTTCGCCTGTGGCACATGGAACAAGATACATATCATACCCGAAGATCGCAGCTCCATTAGTACATTCGAGGTAAGGTTAAAATACATAGCGGTACCTTAATTCACAAAAGCCCGAACCAACATTTCTTTAGAAACTGCGTTTTCCACAGATTTTGGTAGGATATATTGAAATACACCTTTGCTAAAAATTTGAAAGTATTAGTATTTTCTTCTTTTAGAATGTTTTTTGCTTCTCCTGTAAAATAAAAAATTTGCTGGTTAGGGCCGTGGTGAAGTAAGGTAGCGATATGTAGTATGTACGTATAAATTTTAATAAGTCAGTGTTTTATTTTGCAAGATTTTCATTTTTTTTTTTACTTTGGGTATCTTATAATTTTTGGTTACTACAGTGAAACCAGTCAGAGCCGGAATCGCAAGCGAATACAATTTTGGTCCATCTCAGACAGGTTATCGACCATAAGCACGCTGCAAAGTTAAAATATATCTGTATTCAGGGCTGCCAACTTGGCTCAAACCGTGGCATTTTTGGCCCTACTTTACATCAAATGGCACTTAATTTTTCAATTTTACACAAAATGGCCAAAATGGCACTTTTCAAAAATAGTTATATTTCAGTACATTTTTGTGAAATCCTTTGCATGTACTTATTTTTCTCAACTAATATTTTCTAATTTCTAAAGATTATTTAACTGGTTTATTTTATGTTGGCATTGCCCTTTTGTTTTAGAAATGTAGTTCTTATTTAATTGCTAAATGGGAAGGATTAAACAAGATGGCACCCTTTTTGGCACTTTTATTTTACTATTTGGCACGTTTTGGAACTTTTTTAACCTCAATATGGCTTCTCATAGCTAAGGAGCGTTGGCAGCCCTGTCTTAGTATAATGCAGCATACGATTGCGATCACTGGAGCCGAGCTGTTGAAGAACTCTTGGCAAATAAGCGTGCAAGAAATAATTCCGATACTAGCAAGTCAATATTCTTATTAAGTCTCAGCAAAAAATTCCTTGTGGTTTAAAGAATCAGGGCCGGAATTCAATATGAGTAAAATAATTTAAATCAGCATTTAATCATTATTATTTGATTTTTATTTTTTCGATCACAAATAATGATTATTTTATGATTTTTATTTTTTCCCTTTGAGTTTTACTTTACCACTTAAAAATAATGATTATTTATGAAATTGAAAAAGCCATACAGACGCAATCTACTGAAATTTTGACCTGAAACTTTTGGGACTTAATGCTAGCTGGTATAGCTTTTGAGTATTTTAAATGATCATTATTCTTAAGTGAAAAAATAAAACTCAATAATAATTATTATCTTTAAGCGAAAAAATAAATATCATCAAGTAATCATTATTTTTAATCGAAAAAATTAAAATCAAGTAATAATTGTCAATGTTATTGTGGCTTGTTAAAATTTTATTTTTAATATTTTTATTGAGCTTTGTACCACGATTGTTTATTAGGAAAAATTGAAAAAGCAACAAAGTCTAAGCGGTAGAAGTTATAGCACTATTTCGGAGATCACCACATCTCCTCATCAGACTTCTTTTTTCTAGACTTCAGCAGGAATCGAACCTGCGAATTCGATGTTCAAAGTCAGAAGCGTTAACCACTGAGCTATGACATCCCGTAAACTCTTGTTGCTAATTCATTTTCCTTATTCAACCAACTATCAACCAACTACAAAATCAGCTGCACTTGATAGTAGTTGGTTGAATAAGGAAAATGAATTAGCAACAAGAGTTTACGGGATGTCATAGCTCAGTGGTTAACGCTTCTGACTTTGAACATCGAATTCGCAGGTTCGATTCCTGCTGAAGTCTAGAAAAAAGAAGTCTGATGAGGAGATGTGGTGATCTCCGAAATAGTGCTATAACTTCTACCGCTTAGACTTTGTTGCTTTTTCAATTTTTCCTAATAAACAATCGTGGTACAAAGCTCAATAAAAATATTAAAAATCAAGTAATAATTATTTGCTTTGAGCGAAAAAATATAACTCAAATATTAATTACTATTTTTATACTTTATTGATTAAACTCGAAAAATAAAAATAATTGTAAATTACAGTAGAACGTACGAACACAAATAAATGTGAATAGTTGAAATTGTTTTACAACGATTACAACTTGTTGATTTTTTTGGCTAAAATTTAAAAAAATTATGATTATTTTCCGTCCCTCTAAAGAATAAAAGGAATGCCACATAAGCTACTATTCCATACGAACACAGATATATATTTATTCTCCCTAACCCACAGTTTTCAATAAACACATTTCAAAGCGGAAGAAAATGCAAAGAAATTACCCAATCACTTGAAGACCACAGACTCAAGCTTATCATAGATACTCGTGTAACCGATTTCAATTATTTCGTTTAGTCGATGCTACTCAGTTTTTTGTGTTTCACGTAAAGAAAGGTTCTTTCGCGATCGAAAAGGTTTTCATTGATGCTTCTTAATTTTTCTGCATTTCTCGTTAAATGTTTATTAGGATTCATAAGAAAATTACTTTTTAACACATAGACATAAATAATAATGTATGTATAATATATGGAAACAAATATCTCTGCTAGGTTCTCTCTGACGAGCAGCAGGTGGTGTTAAAAGGCGTGCTTGAGGAGCCCATCAATGACAATGACAACAACGCCACAATCAAGGCGAAACAGTTTTACAAAAGCTGCATGGATTTACGTAAGTCGAGACGAGGCTCATTTGGCCCCGCACACTCAAACAAAAATTATAATAAATACTATGTACATATGTTAAAAGGATACGAGTACTAAGCAATTTCTCCCTTCTAGCTCAAATACGCAAAATTGGAGAGGGTCGCCTGAAGGAGGTGCTCAAATCGCTCGGCGGCT